AAAAAAAGAGAAGAAAATGATTAAAAGATGTTCATTTGGTGTAAGTTGTGACAACTATGCCACATTATTGTCATTGGTCATTGGGCTACCTGCCTCCTTATTGATACCCTACAAGAAGAGTGGTTAGAGATGGCCAAGTCTACCTACAATTATTTATGGGAAGTTGCCATACCCACCTTCCCTCGGGAAATTGACTATGAGGCCTTCTGCACAGAGCTAACGATACAATGGGAGCAAGCCCCAAGATGATGCACTTGCATATCCCAAGGGCGATAGAGTACCTACCGAGATGTACATCTGGGAGGATGCACCTCCACCTATTTCAGATTATGAGTCGTAACCTTCCAAGAAAACTAGATTTCATGGAGGATAGAGTAATGACAATGATAGCAAGGAGGAGTAGTGGTATGGATTTTAGTAGATTGTTGTCTCTATGTTGGGCAATATTTCTTGGTTGACTTCAATCAAGTGACTTCAGCTGGCCTGTTTTGTGGATTTGTGGATTGCAATTATCGCTTAACACAAAATATTGTATGATTAGGATGTTCAATTGTGCAGAATTTTAGCTATGCTATTGGTTTTAACCTATAAAAGCTTTGTAATTTCGATTGTTTGTGAAGTGAAGAGAGTGCAACCACTCTTAATGTAACACGCGACTCTTCGCCTAATTTTTTGTTACAATGATTTTGCTTCTTAGGGCGAAACTTTTTGAATGTAATAATTGAATATCAGAGATTCATAATTACTATTCCAAATTGATAGTACATCACATTGGCTATCTCTGCCTCTTTGATACTCTAAGTTGACAACTTTTGGCAATCAACATTTTCTACATAGGCCTTGTGTGGGAGGGCTTAAAATCGGATTAAAATTGAAAATATANATAGTGTAATATGTTTTATATAATATTTTTTGTAGTTATTAATTCGTACTTAGGATTTCTGTGCCAGGTGAACTTCCAGTGAAGGAGGAATCCCCATTTTCCCCCTCAAGAGTCAAGCATAATTGTTGCTTTGGATTATTTAGAAGTTGTATTTTTCTTTTGATGTGTTATGATATTTTCTATAAATACCTTCAGGATTGAAGATTCCTACAAAAATGGTCCTTCAAGTCGTTTGCCTTCTATTTCAAATACAGGTAATTAGACTTTCATTTGATTAGTGACCATGTGCTCAAGTCTACCAATATCATTTGAATTAATGTTTATCATTTGCATGCCTGGTTGACTTGTTGGATTAGGATCCATTTTGTTATTGATTGAGATCCACAACCTGGGTCCGAACTAAATATGAAGATCATAAAATAAATATTCATGGATTCAGATTATCTGACTCGATGAGTTTTGTGCCCTGTTTTAGTTAAGATATTAAGAGCCTGTTTGAACCCTTTTTTTTTTTTTTTGTTTAGAATATATTTTGGAATAGTATTTTAATGGATAATATTTTGTTAAAAAATAAGGAAAAGTTTGTGTTTACGTATAATATTATTTTATTGAAAACGTGTGGTTAAAAATAAAAGAGAGAAAAATATATTTTGGAGACAATGGGGACCAAACAAGGGCTAAGCCATAGTTTGATCCCCATTTTTTAAAACTTATTTTTCTCCAAATTCAATTTCTACCGCACATTCTCCTAATAAAATAATTTTACATGTAAATTCAAAATTTTTCCCTATTTTTTAACCAAACATTCTTTAAAAAGTCACTATTACAAAATATATTTTTTATGAAAATGGGGTCAAACACTCCATTGTTATTGCATAAAGAGATTAGACTCATTGGTAGTCCTTGACTTCTTCTACAACAGAGAGATTGTCATTTTATTAGTACAAATATTGCAGGAACTACGTGCAGTAAAAAGGCATCCAACATGGTCCAAGTCAAGGAACAGCCTGATTCTCTAAAACTGGATGGTACCCTATCTCTTTCTTGTTTTATGCCGTCATTGAATTCTGATAGAGTTATAACTATCTGTTTAGTTGTCAATCATATACTTTCTAATTTCTTTCAGATCATCTATCAGGCCGGAGTTTTGGCAGTAAGAAACCTAAATCTGCTGAGGATGAGGGTCCTTCTTTGTTGGAGTTAAGTGGTTATAACCTGAAAAGACAAGAATTTGAAATTGAATATGATAATGATGTTGAGCAGTTGCTGGCTGATATGGAATTTAAGGAAACTGACACCCAAGAAGAGCGTGAGTTGAAATTACGTGTGCTCCGTATATATTCAAAGAGGTAACTTTCCAATATGGTCTAGATTTCTTACAATTGATAATTGTTTTAGGGACATTGAGTGAAGGAATACATTCAA